TGCTAACCACCGAGACACCTTGCAGCCCCTTATACCTGCATGCTGCTGTGAATATGCTATTTTAACTATTCTTTGACAATATCAGCTCAGATTGCACAATAAAGCTCCGGGTGGTTGGTCTGAACTCACACATTTATTGGGTGAAACATAGTTTTAAAGATAATCACAGCATTCAGCCTCCACCGTGTCGGTGCTTTTAGCTGATAAAGTCTTTTTAAAGAAAGTCAGACACTAAATAACTGGTTGCGGTAAAAGAAAGCTCTGCCTATGATGGGAAGAAAGGAGGAGATTGAGGGTAGCAGACGGGCTGATCCGACAGTCACAGCCGTCCAGCGCCTGAGGAGAAGATGACCAGGCAGACGGACTCTCCAGGGCAGTGTGTGCTCGTATAAATAGACACTAATCAGGCATGAGGTGTCCAGATTAGTTCCCATAACCTTTTGTTCAGCACACACTGGTCATGGTGGCCTGTGTGTGGGTCAGCTCTGTACCGGGGATGTCCTCTACAGTACATTTGCTGCTGCTCAGCCCTCACCCACATCTGTGATTCAGTTGAAACCAGAAGTTTACATCCACTGTATAAAAGACATACTTTTCTTTCTCACTGTCTGACTTTAAATCCAACTAAACTTTTCCTGTTTTAGATTGGTTAGGATTTCCAAAATTATTTCTGTTTGCTAAATGTCAGAATAAATAGAGAGAGAGGATGTTTTACTTATGATTTACTTTGCCTTCAAACTCTCGTTTAACACTTTCACTACCTGATATTTCAGGTTTTTAATGATTAAACCACCTCTGCTTGAAGATAACGCTCAATTTTCCACCTCAGCACCAGAAGAAGAGCTCAGCGCTGGATGCTTCAGGGGTGTATGAAGAAGCTCTCCGTCGGTGTGAGGTGCCCCCTCACTTCTCCACAGCTCCACAGACGTACACTAAGTGGGCTGAGAGCGTTTCCTGTGTAATCTCAGGTGCCCTGCGCTGATTTTACTGCATCGGACATGAGAGTAGGATGCTGGGTAGCAGGATGTGTGTTCAGTTTGTAGTTTACAATAAGAGAGAGGACAAACGAGGAGGCTGAGGTGGTGGGATTTGACCGGAGCGTGAGTGGTTTTAGGGTTTTGTCTGTGATTCAGATGGCAGAATTAGAAGAAAAGGGAGGTAGAAGTAAAGTCTAAAGGTG